AAAAAAAAAAAAGGCGGATTTAATTTAAATTCAACCCATTCAGGCACTGGAAAATCTGTTATCAATAAAACAAAAAAAAAAGGTCTCAAACTTGTGATATACATCAAAAAGGAATCAAGAGTCACCAAGAGAATCCCAGTAATAAGACTGTACATGGATTAGTAAGAGAATTCTCCAGAAGAAAATCATTTTAATTGTCTCTTAAGTTTCATGGGCTATGGTGACAGCTACCTGACAAGGAAAGCTAGAGAACCCAGTGAATCTCTGTAGTAAAGGGCTCTTACAAGGACCGTCATTCTTTCCAGTCTGTGTTCTGCTGGATTTAAACTAATGACTCAAAAACATTAACAGCATCATTTTCTCCCAAAGTTATTAGATTACACGGCAACACAGAGGATTTATTCTAGGATTAAACATTATCTAGCATTTGTATGGATACATACAAGTTTGTATAGGAAACTGTCTGTATAAAGTAATTCTGGTGTTCCCAAGCCACCAGCCATGTGTTCTTTCAAGAAATTATGTACCTGATATTTTGTTTTTAACCAATAAATTATGGCTTGTTGGAAAGGTTCTCAATCTGATAGACAGCTGATTTAGAATTTAGACAATTCACGGACTCTCAAAGAGCTTCTCTGAGTAAATATTATTTTTTGACTATTTGTTTTATTCTTTGAGAGACAGGATCTCTTCATGCATCCTTGACCTTAAACTCATGGCAATATGGGTCCTTCTGTCTGTTGGTATTCAAGACATTGGCCTCCACTCCTGGTATCTGAGCTAGACCACTACAGATGAGGGAACCACAGAGTAAGACTCAGATGAAAGAACCACAGTGGGAAGGACAATAATGAAAGTTTTAAAAGCAAAACTCAACAGCTTCTTGAAGACACTCATAGACCAGATTCAAAAGCACATATTTTTTTAAATATACAAAAACAAAAAGCTAGAACATTGAAGACAGTGTAAAGTATAGTGGATCAAAAAGTAGTGGCAAAGTAAATCCAGTCCTAATTTGATACATTGTTTAATGATGTGCATTCTTATATAATATTTATATGCTTTGTCAAATGTGCCAAATGAGCTTGCCAATATGAACACATGCTACTACCATTTTAAGCTAGGTTAAAAGATCTCAATACAAGATTGTGCTAAAAGAAAAAATATATAAACAAATATTGGTTTTCTTTGTACCCTGCACATTTATTATTTGGCATGAATTCATTATTTAAAGATTTTTCACATACAAAAAGTATAAATATACAGGAAAAGAGAAGAAAAATCTAAGCATATAATAGTATATGATCCCACTTTAACTGACACTGACTTACCAGTCGTCATTGTTAAAGACAATGAATCCTTTGTTTCCTCTGCCAAAAGCTACTTGGATGCTGCCATTATCCCACCAGTTTGAGAAAGGCTGACCATTGACTACGTTTCTGAAGGCAACCATGTTCCTAAAAGCAAAATATCATGTGAAATGTTGGCACCCTTCAACTTCAACAATTTTAAAAAGAAGTTAAATAACTTTCTTATTAGAAAATATCTGTTGGGAAATTCCCACCTTATTTGACGCCATCGATGTTCACAGACCCAGTCATTGCCACAACTTGTGTCTGATTTAATGATCACTTCTTTGATTACGCCATTGTTATTAGGTGGTCCAATCCAGTCATTCACATCCTTAATTATTGAAAGATTCGGGTTATTTGAATGTTTGAGTCTTCACAATTATTTCCACTAGAGCAAATCCAAACCAAACCTCTTATGCTACTTCTTTCTTTGGAGTGTCTAATTTTAATCTAAGTCCTTCAGTGTTTTATAGACTTTCACTGAGCCCTTCATTTCTTGCAAATCCATATTTTCTACTACTCAATTCAAACAGACAGTAACAATTTTTAAACATCTCACTTTCTATGAAAGACTCGGTTTCTCAACACCATTAACAGGTCTTCAATGTCACCTAACATCAAGACAGTTGAGCCAGGAACACTAGCATTGAGGAACAGGCTTCAGTCACGCCCTGAAAAATTTCCATCATTATACATAACATTAATGTGCCTCAGTTTATCCATAAAACTGAGGCATAGTTCTTGGCTACTCCAAAAATTCAAGAACATATATGAAAAAGCTTTTAATATAACATTTTCTAAGTTAATAATAGTTCATTTCTTACTACTTTCTGGGAAAATGTGTTTATAAAATGTCCTGACTTTCATTATTAAACTTATCAAAGTATAAATGTACATTTGATAATTGGTGAATGGTAAATATATTTCTGAAAAAAAAGTCTCATTCCAGGCTTGAAAGCTCTTTGGAAATAAAACAAATGTCAATAAAACCAGAGGTAAACTCACTTTGAAAAAAAATAGGAGGGCTGGAGAGATGGCTCAGTGGTTAAGAGCATTGCCTGCTCTTCCAAAGGTCCTGAGTTCAATTCCCAGCAACCACATGGTGGCTCACAACCATCTGTAATGAGGTCTGGCGCCCTCTTCTGGCCTGTAGGCATACAGACAGAACATTGTATACATAATAAATAAATATTTTAAAAAAAAGATGTTAAAAAAATAGGATAAACTGTTTTTCAGGTGTCTAAAGAAGAAACATTTCTATTTTAATTTTGATTTTTTTTCTGTTAGTCTAGATTCTTATATTAAAACAGAAAAATTTCCATGGATGGTCTTATTTCCTAGATTAATTTTAAAATTGTTTAAGCGTGTGCACCCAACAAACAACATAAAATGTATGTAATATATTATAAATATTAGGTTAATTTAAAATTGTTTCTGCTTAGGCACCTAATCAACAACTCATATTGTTTATACTTCTACAAATACATATTGTTTACAGACTCTGTATGTAGCAAATCATTGTTCTGTAATCTTCAGAAATTTCTATTATCATTTTTAAATTCCCTCAAATCAGCTACCTTCTTATTTCACAGGAAATAATTTAAAATATTAATGTTAGCAGACATTATCCCATCTTACCTTTTTTTGTTGGATTTTATCAGGAATGCCTGTTTTCATTCTAGCGTTTTCTCTTATTTAAATCATTGCTTTTCTGATCAGGTATATTTTCAATATCCTTACTGCACAAAAACTTAGTGATTAACACTTATAATTCTATTATTATGTATTGTTTATAGACTCCATTGTAAAACTTTTTTGTAATTTTCAGAAAAATTCTATTATAATTCTTAAATTCCCTCAACTCAGCTACCAATTTATTTCACAGGAAAAAATATATAAGTATCACATGCTATAACTTAATGTGAAATTAAAACATAACATAACCTCTTACTTTTCTAGATTAAATTATGCTTTGAAGAACTTCAAGACTTACTTTTCCATTCTGGAAATTTCTTGTCCAACGGTAACTTGACATTACTCGTGTGAACCCATAAGGATGAGCCAACATAAAGCCAACTGCCATTTTATACATTCTGAAAGTTTCAAAATGGTATTAGAGCATAATGTAATGCCATCATTAAAAGCAAGTTTCACAACAGCAAAGAATGTTCTCTCACCTAGCATCCCAGAAGGTCAGAACGGATGCTCCTCCACCACCTAGTCCTCGTTGAGTCTCATGGTTGTCCACAAACACAAGAGCTTTGTTAGTAGGCCCAAAACCCCAACCTTCTCCCCAGTTCCTACATTAAGAAAAAGTATTATTCTTTTAAAACACTTTGATTAAGTTTTCATATTTCATACTCAGTTATCCAAATAAATAAAAATTCTATAAGATGCCTACCTGTCATATCATATGCATATAAAGACATATTCAATATCATTTATTATGAAGATATACATCCTCATTTAAATATTACAATATAACCATATTGTTCTTTAAATGTTTGTTTTCTTTAAATTTTTCATTGGATTGTAATTTTTTGGACTTGAGAAGTGAAATTTCCATTTGATATTCCATAGATTAGGAAGCTATTGTGCTATTATAATACAAATTGAAAATTTTTCAAATTAATTCTTTGATATAACACATTAATATTTCATAGTTTACCACATTATGAGTATCATTTATGAATATAATTATTTGTGTAATAATAATATAGCTTTGATAAACCATAGGGAAATATTTCTGGAATCTAATATATTTATTACAAACAAACAAAAATAACTAAGTGATACTTTAGATTTCTATGGATACCTGGGGATAGACATTACAAGTGGAAAAACTAATTCGGTGGTTGTGAGAAACATTAAGCTTAATAATCAACAACTTTATAAGTTTGAAATGAGAATAATTGGAGACATAACCAATTAATGTCAAATAGCAAAAGATCTATGATGGATCAAATGAAAAAATTGTCTATATTTACTTTAAAAATGCCATCTTCTGTCCATCCCACTTGCGGATAACTGTGCTCAGGTCTGCTCCATATTTGTATGGTCCACTTAAAAAATACATTGACTCCTTACCCAGATCGTTGACCTAGTAAATACATTGGGTTAGTTGTAATTTTTTTATAAATTTAAGCATATAGTTTAAATGTAATGTCATTTAGAAATCTTTATAATATTCCTAATGGTTTTCTGTACATTAACATTCTAATTTCTTCAAAAAACATATGTCACAACATTGAAAGAAACCAAACGACAGGGTTTCTTCTTATCCCCAAAAATGGCTGACAAAAAGGAAAATTCATCAGTCCATACTGATATAATACTTGCTGTCAAATGAGTATCAGAAGTATTTATGAACTCATTAATGTTTACAAGGAAACAGAGCTACAAATACACTGTCCCCAATAAACTTCAAATGACATTATTGCTGCACAGGGAAGCTTCATCAGTTTTTCTAAACAGTTACAAACCTGATACCATAAGACATATCTCAAACTTAAAAAGATTGTCTTGGGACAAAAACGATTATGATTTCTCTGTCTTGTATTATGGTATTATATTTACAGATTTAGAGAATTAATTGTTGAAGTTTGCACTAACTTTGAACCTGCTGTGGTAAAGAATTAAGTGTGTTACTTCTGAATAACAGCAATTCTTTATTAAACACTCAAATTCTATAGTATGCAAATGACTGAGCTATTAACCTACATTATTAATTTTATGCTTAATGAAATATCCTCTCTACTATCTGGTTTACAAAATGGTTACATTTCAGAAAAATTCCATAGGGGCTCAACAATATACAAAGAAATATAGAGAGAAGTATAGGCAACTGAGGAAATCTGGGAATGAAAATCAGAGAAGACCATATCAACTGGTTGATTAGTACCAATATATGAATTTATCTGTAGCAATATGGATTATATTAAGAAGATAGATAGATAGATAGATAGATAGATAGATAGATAGATAGATAGATAGATAGATGATAGAAAAATAATAGATAGGGGTATACACGTATCTACCTATATGTAGGTATATGTGCATACGTGTATATTATACATGTATATGTGTATATATATAGTGTGTGTGTCTGTGTGCATGTGTGTATAATAACAGTAAGTCAAAAGACAGGTTACAATCTTGAAGGTGAGTATGGAGGGGTATATAAAAGAGTTTAGAGAGAGGAAAGGAAAAGTGAAACATTGCAATTACATTATAGTATTAAATTCTTAGGAAGAACAGATGTATTGCTTTACCTCTTGAAAAATGAAAGGTCTGCTTCCTGCAGAGAACCATTGTGTATTTAGATTATGCAGTTTGTCCAAAATTGCCTTTATTTCTGCAGGCCACATGTACTTAGTAGTACCAAGTCTGAACCCTGCCACACCAATGTCAATGAGATGGTTCATGTAGTCAGCCACCTTGCCACGAACATAATCTTTATCAAGTGCAAGGTACAGAAAGCCAGACAGAAGATAATTTCTGACCTATTGAAACAAAAATGATAAATTTATATAAAGTCATATCTGGTCTAAGAATCCATTCCATCATTCAGTCACTCACACATTTACAAGTAGATTTTTCATATTGTCTTTTCTTGGAATATGCACAGTATTGATGTTTTAATTTGGATACAGACTTTAAAATATTTTCTGTTGTAAATATAGAAAGTATAAAATAAAATAGGTGAGGATTTTAGATGGTTAATTCTCTTTCTCTCTCTCTCTGTCCCTCTCTTTTCTTTATTCCTTTGAACTCCTTTCCCGCTATTTATCCTTCAGTTTTCTATCTTTTATTCTTTATTATTTTATGTAGTTCCCAGAATCCATTCCAGGAACTTCCACATGTTAAATTAGTGCACTGCTCCAAATCTGAAAATATACTCTAATATTTGAAATTGTTTTAAAATACTAATCTTTATTTTTAATAATATTTCCACACAATAATGTTTATATAATTGATAAAACATGCTTTTGCTTTATCCACACAAAATCACTATAGAGCATGTCTCCATTTGTCATTGATTTTGTGTGTATCCCTACAAAACAATGAAACAAAATACAGCACACTTTTAAATTTCAATTTGTCAAGCATTCCATCTTAGTAAACTGTTTTCCTGCAGAATATGAATGGTATGTCCCATGGTTATCCATAAATTTTTGGTATGCACTAGATGCTTCTTTATTATCTTATATTTCTCTGTTGAATGGAGAGCCATTTTTTGATTCCCAGCTGTTCTGCCCTGAAATAACCACACACATACTATATTAATTAAATCACTTCTTGGCCCATTAGCTCCAGCTTCTTATTGGCTAACTCTTACATATAAATTTAACCCATCTCCATTAATCTGTGAATCACCACCTGGCAGTGGCTTAGTTGGTAACGTTCAGGAGTCTGTCTCCAGTGGGGCTACATGGCTTCTCCATGACTGTTCCTTCTTCCTCCCAGGATTCCATTTAGTTTTCCCTGACTAGCTCTGTTCCCCTATAGCTCTGCTATAGGCCAAAAACAGTCCCTTTCTAAACCAATAATATTCACGGCATAGAGAAGGGAATCCCGCATCATTTCGTTCATTACCTCATTAGCATTTTTGTAGTCATCAACATCTCGGTCACATTTACCATCATTAAAATCCCAAGCAGAGTATGGAACTGCTGGGAATTCTCTGTTATGGGCATTGTAGTAACTTCCACAGGTACTGTTTGTCCCTGCACCACTGCCTGCACTACACATGTGATTAATAACTGCATCCACATAAATACGGACCTGAAAAGGGAAATTGCACACTTCAGTGATCCTCAGGAATCTAAAGATTCAATGGAAAACTCACAATAGTCTTTTTAGAAAGGAGAGTAAGTGTGATATGAAACTAATGTGAAATAAAATCCAACAATAGCCTTCATATTGGTAAAGTGTTTAAAACTATTAAGTAGAGATAAAAATGAACAGTCATAGTTTAAAGTTAAGATCAATTTTTGAGGAAGTAAAACACAGCATAAAAACGAGAGGGGATTGCTTTTGCAGCTTTGTTGGTTCTTGAGGTAAAATGCCATGGATTGTACTATTTCCACCTTGTATCTGAAGACCAGAAAGTACATAGATGATTCTTCTTTTTAAGGTGAAAGCATTTATTTACCATTAACAAGACTGATGGGGATAAAAACCCAAGAATTGTGGGTGTAAAGAAAAATCATATAAATGACGTTAATCTTAACTTCTGGACCAGTGGTTATTCAGAAACATGTAAAGTAGTCTATATAGAAATCTGTATTAAAAACAACCATAACAACAAACAAAACAAAACATAAACTTCTGATGAAGTTGGAATGATTATAAACAAGAGAAAGCATTGATTGTGGAAGTTTACAAGGATATATGGATGAAGAAGCTGGTAGTAACTTAGGGACAAGAAGGTAGGCATTTCTTTTAATTATATAGAGAAAATAGATATTTTCAACTAAAGCAATAAGTTCAAAGAAAGTCCATAAATTGAGGGAAGAAAACAAAATCACATAAAAATGACCATAGCAAGCAAATACAATCAGTGCCTAACCAAAAGAGAGTATTATGGAAAATATAGTTACAAGGCTAAAAGTCGAAGGTTCAATTTATCACCTCTTACTTTTACATAGTAGATGTGCAAGGGTTCTCAAAGTGTGATTATATAACAATCAGGCATTTTAACAAAGAGTGAAAATAAATGCAATTTTTGATATTTTACTTTATTTTCATATTTTCTATTTACACTATATCACTTTCCCCTTCCATTTCATCTTTCCATTCACCACTCCCAATTTATGAAATTTTCTGCTCAAAGAAAATTAAAGAAGAAAGGATGAAAATATTTCACCAATATAAATTTTTAATTTATAAAATTCTATGTAAGGCTTTAAAGAAAATGTATCATCACTTACACCAACATTGTTGCACCTCTTCACCATGTCTCTAAATTCATCTTCATTTCCAGACCTTGTGCAAATTTTGTAGCTAACTGGTTGGTATCTTTCCCACCAAGGCCTGGGTGGTCTATAAATCACAATATTTTCACTTGGTGGAGAGACCTGAGAATAAAATAGTTAGAATTAATTTTAAACAATAACTTACTAAGTTTGTATTAAGCTTAAAAAACTAAGTTCTCTAGAAACATATCAATGGTCTAGTGTCACATTTCATCTTGTGAACATGAAGTTCTGTCACTTCACAACCACCTGAAAAGATGGGCAGGACATTGCAGAAATCCTGTTGTTATCCTACACCAGAGTATAAAGATGCCATCATCAGCAAACCTATTCATTACCCAAGAAATTTATGTGTGATGTTGGCTTGTCTTCCAGACACACTGAACTGATGAGAATGCAGTTTTATATCAACACAGCAAAGTCTCCATTTAAAATATGAATCAGTTTTACCTGTACCCCTCCAAATCCCTTAGGAGCTAAGTATCGCTCACATTCCTTGGCAATATCAACCCAGCGCCACTCAAACAGTTGGACAATTGAAGTCCGTCCATACTGAGTGTGTGGGTCATTCTGAGCCCAGCAGAACCCAATGAGTGAAAGCAACAGGAAGAGCTTCATTTTGCTTTGTAAGTTGTCAGTGTTCTTTCTATTGCCTATTTATATTCTGCAGGAGGTAGACTTTGCAAAATCATTGTTTATAAATAAATATTTACAGAATATGCTTTTCATACATAATCTAAAAGATATGAGGTGAGGGTGTGAACAGGTGAAAGACCTTCAGAAATTCTCATGGAAATTATACTAAGGCATTACAGTACATGTAATAGGAGCGTGGGCGCCATTCTGTAGTAATAGGAGCGGCAGGGCTGCGTCTCCAGCACCCCGGGCCACCGCTAGCTTATGCCCCGAAATAATTACACAGACACTGTATTCTTTTAAACACTGCTTGGCCCATTAGCCCTAGCCCTTACTGGCTAATTCTGATATCCCTATCAACCCATCTCTAATAAACTGTGTAGCACCAGTCTTACCGGGAAAGATTCAGCATGTCTGACCTGGTGGTTTGCTTCATGGTGTGCCCAGGAGAGGGGAGCATGGCCTCTGCTCCAGAGGGCAGAGCTGTGGAGTCTGAGCTCACTTCCTCTTCCTCACAGCATTCTGTTCTGTTTACTCCACCCACCTATGTTCTAACCAATAAAATGGGCCAAGGCAGTTTCTTTATTAGCCAATGACCTTCCTCCATCAGACACTGTTTTGGGTCTGTAGCAGAATTGTAGGGGAACAGAGTTAGGTGGGAAAAACTAAATAAACGGAATGCTGGGACAAAGAGAGGGACCCATGGACCTTCCACCTGAGAGAGACACTGCTTAGAATCTTGGCCAGTAAGCCACTGCCACGTGACAATATACAAATTAATAAAGTGCATTAAATTAATATAAAAATTAGCCAATAAGAAATTAAAACTAATGGGCAAGCAGTGATTTAATTTATATAGTTTCTATGGGTTATTTCAGGACTAAGTTATCCGAGTGGCTGGGACAAACATCAGGCCCTCCTCCTATAGAATGGCACCCACATGGCCAGCTATATTCACTTATAACTTGAGAGGGCTTGCTGGGTGGCTGGGATGAACAAGTGGGCCCTGCCCCTACACTAGAGTATCTGACACCTTTTTTCTAATCTCCTCAGTTATCAGGCATGCTCATTGGGCATAGAACTGGATGCTGACAAAAATCCAATATATTAAAATAATTTTAGAGTACTTAAAATGTAACTCTATTATAACCAGGTAGCATTGCTTTTATTGTACACTACAGGTTAACTAATAAAAGACCCTATGCCAGTACTGGGAATTCTGTTTTAGAACTGCAGGCCTATGAACTCTTGTAGATGCTACACATTACAGGATCTTGCCACTGCTCTTCTTTATGCTCCAGAAACTGATGTTCAGATTGCATTCTTGGAGGATACCTACTTAAGTAATAAAACATGGAGAAATATTGTCAGTATTTAATGGATGCCATATCTAGGTTTATTACCTAGGTTTATTAGTTTATTTGAAAGGTTCTATGCATTCTAGCAGAGGAGAAAAAAAGAATCATCAGTCATACCCAGTTGTGAATATTCAAAATAAATACTAACCAGCTAACTTCTGATAATGGTACATAGGGGGGAAAACTCTTGGTAATAACCAATCACGTTCTGATTCTTTTTAAGTCTCATTACACAACATAAAATCCCTATTTGCACCATTACTGAACCAAAGACTTATTTTAAAGGCTCACACACCCTAGGGGTAGTACAAAATTATTATTCTACTACTAAGTGCAGAATGTATTAAATGAGCTCCCAGTGATTTATTATTTTATAAATAAAGTAAGACATTTCTCAATCCTCATCAGAGAAGGTAATATTTTCAATAGTATCACATAGACTAAAAATGGTAGATTGCAGAGACTAAACAAGTATAAAATGTTAATTCCTAACTGAAACATACACACTGATTTGGACGAAGTTGTCAAAAGAAACCAGGGAGAAAAAATAACTTTTTAGTGAATGGTACTGAGAAAACAGGATACCTACCTGTAGAAGATAACAGGATCTCTAATTCTGTTTGAAAATCAACTTCACATAAAACAGAAACCTGCATTTGAAACCATAGATTTTAAAGGGCTATAGAAAAAATCAGTAACAAAATTTCGACGTATTGACAAAGGTATGGACATTTTTATATGATGCTGCACTTTGAGTGCTTGTGGTTTTCTTGTGGTTAAAAAAAAGAATTTCCTTGATGAAGACAGAAGACTATGTTTAGCTATGGGCATAACGACAATTAGTTATCATCTCTAATAATCAGTAAAATTCACATTAAAATAAATTGAGATTTCATTCTATTTGGGAAGAAATGAAAACATTTAAGGGGACATACAAAAGTAATGCTGAAAACATGCAAGTAAAAGAGAACACTCATCTTTGCTTATGGGCTTGCAAACTGGTGCAGCCACTATGGGAAGAAGGGTGGCAAATACTCAAAAATATTAAAAATATGTCTGCTATATAACCAGGCGTGGACATTTTGAATGGTATTTCTAGTTGGACAGTAAGAAAACCAACCGTGGGCAAATGGAACATCATGATACTAAAGAATCTGTAAAGCAAAATGTACTCAGCTGAAAGAAGAGAAAAAAGAAAGAACATGAGAAATTTTCATCTGCTATACATCTCATAAAAGATTGAAATCAAACTATTAATTTTATAGAAAAATATACCATATTTTATTCATTTTGTGAGGTAGGGTCATACTGTGTATGCATAGCTGGATTGGACCACTGAAAATATAGCATGATATATACGAACTCACAGATACCTGCCAGCTTCTGCATCTGCTCCCAATGATGAAATTATAAGAATGTATCAACAAACTCAGCTACAAACATCAAACATAATTTTTCAACAAGAGATTATGGGTGTAAAAATCTATAAATAAAACTTGTTGGATCCATTTAATATGGCTTGTATGTATATGATTTTAGGATTGACCACATCTTATCATATGAGCAAAATGGGCTTATCCATGGGAAAAACTAATTCTTCCACTCTCAGCAGTCTAACTTCTAGAGATTTGTATGGGGGTGCAAATACCGTGAGATTTGCCCTTCCTACATTAGCATGTCTATTCACAATGTAGCTGTTTAAGTCTTGATTAGGCAATGCTATGTTTGGGGTATCACATAGAAGCTTTTATGTCATCTCTATGAGACACATTCTCACACCAGATGTTTAGGTCCTGTGGATCCTAAAAAATCTTTCTGCCTCCTCTTGTATGATTGTACCTGAGCCTAAGGTATTGGATCTATCAAGTGGAGCTGCACATATAACTCAGTTGGTCTCTGTACTTTGGCCGGTTGAGATTTTCTGTAACATCCTACTAAAAAGAAAAGTTTCTTTAATGGGAGTGAGAACTACACACACCTGTGTATAAGCATTTTGGAATTATTCTGGTCTAGTACGATGGTGGGGGAATGGTCTCTAAGATTCATCACCTCGCTGGCCCTGAGTAGTTGGCTAGGATTCCAGAACCAGAAGTGAATTTCCTCCTGTAGAGTGAGCTCAAGTCCAGTTAGATAGTCCTTGGTTACTGCCAAGATATGAGAAACACTGTTACACTGTAAGACAATCTTGGCCTTCTTGCCAATGTTTTAATTCATAGGAGTCAAAGCTGAGTAGGACTTTTGGTTGTATCTATTACTTGTCAGTATGCATAGAACCTTAAGAAATGAGACTTTCATATGAGATACAATTCAAATCTTCCACGACCATTGTTAATATGATAATAATGATGATGATGGTGATGATAATGATAGAAAAATGCTCAAAATTTTGCAACAAATGGTAGAATGAAAACAACTGAAAAGATGAAGCAGAGTAGAGATTAGAGAAAGAAGAAATGGGGGAAGTAATTACATTTATTTATATTTAAACATGTATTACATAAAATTATATGGAGATAAATATTATAATATGAAAATAAGAAATAAAATGACAAGTAAGTATGTTTTAAAAATATACAACACTCACACCTATATGGGAATACAAATTACAAGTATCTTTAGTTCTATCTCACCACTACAGAGTGGCTATCAAGGAACCAAATTACAGCAATTGCTGCCTTGTCTCTGGAGAGAGGGGAATATAAGTCCTCACCATTTGGAAGAACTTAAACAAGAACAATCACTATGGAAATCAGAGTGAAGGTTTCTCAAAATATGAAATCTGAGCCACCACATGTCTTACCTCTAGTACATTCAGACATAAACCTAACAGACTCCATATGCTAGTAAAGAAAAATGTTTGAAGAAACGAATTTAATTTTACTCTCTTCTAAATGCCTAGAAAATAGAATCAATAGTAAATATCCACCAACTGAGAAATAATGAGAATTTGTTCCAAATGTACAATGCAATTATATTCAACTGTAAAGAAAAACATCAATTTGAAAAATTATCTCAGATTGATAAAACTAGAAAATATAGTATAAAGGGACATATGCCAGGCTTAGACAAATGTTGTATGAAATCTCTCATTATGTGAATCTTAGTTTCAAACACTGTAGATTTCTGTGTAATATAGCATCTGCAAAAATATTAAAAAAAACTAGAGAAGAAGCATTAAAATGACACCGAAAATGGAGCACAAGGTGTGTGGTTACAATACACGTGATATGAAGGTAAGGAAGAGCAACAGGGTAGAAAGGAAGGGATGAGTATGAGGATTGGAGGGTGATAAATTAAACTGTTGGAGGCAGATTAACCAAACTACATATGGCTGAAAGAGCCATATGAAAATCCACTACTTTGACAGCCTTTTCATTTAAAAACCAACAAATAAACAGAATCTGAAGAGAACTACTCTGCTTAGTAGGAAAATACAACCACAAAAACATCATAATATTAAACAAAGCCAAGTGCCAGACATGACGTAACCCCATAAAATCACTTTGCTACTATTATGCAAAGAAGTTAATGAACCATGGGATGGTTCAGTTGGGCTTGTTTATCATTGAGAAAAAAAAATGATTTAGTGCTATCTGGTCCAATATTGGCATAGCAGCTACAGAC